GGGGCTTCTCGGTACTTGCCCGAACTGAGCACCGAACCAGTTCAGTAGAGTAGCGCCTGGTCTCTGGCTCCGGCGCTGTGCGGGGATGCGAGGTGCGGCGATGCCCGCCGAGATGGGAGCTGCTCCGCCTGCAGCCGAGGCTGGAGGGGTCAGGGGTTTTCTGGAGCGGGTTTGGCTGAAGAGGCTGGGGGCAGGACTGGCGCTGCTCGGCAGGGATGCCTTTAGATGGGCTACAGCCACAGCGGGAGCTGGAACCAGCGATGAGCATGAACTTCTAAATAATCGCGACTCCGCTGCAGCTCTTTCTTCTGCCTCCAGAAGCCCCTTTCTTGGGAGAAAACACGCCTCGACCATCAGCTGTGGGTAGATGGCACGGACTGCCCAGGGCAGTGGTTGAATCGCCGTCCTCGGATGTATTTAAAAGCCGTCTGGATATAGGGCTCAGGGACATGGTTTAGAAGTGGACCCGGATAATGGTTGTACTTCATGAACTTAAAGGTCTTTTCCAACCATAATAATTCATGATTCTAAAAGTTGATATCCATACCCTGTGTCAATGGAGGCATAAAACCCATAAGCCATGGGTAAATGTTGATATTCATACCCAGCTTTAAGGGAGAAATTAAAAAAAAAAGAATTTGGTGAAGGTATCAAGGTTTATGCCAGGCCAGATATATCAGGGGCTTATCCTTCCAGTGTTCATGTGCCGTGCAAACTTCCACCAAGCCTCTAAAAAGTTTGCATGCCTAAGGAAGTTATCCACAAACATGCCTGTGAACATACAATGGAAGTTAAAAACTAATACCAAGTAAATGTATTTTCAGTTGTAGTCTGCTTGGCGAAGTTCTCACAATATGTATTTACCGTATTCTATAACCTGTTACATATTTACATTCATCTAAGCACATCTGTCCTGGAACCTCACCTTGCTGAAGGGGACTTCTGCATAATGCTTTGAGAACATAGAGGCTTATTCTTCCCTTTTGATGTCTGTGGATCCTGGAAAGATTTAGTCATAAACTTACATTTAAGTATTTGAATCCTCATGTGGAGTCAATGGTCTGTTCAAGGACAAGTGCAAGTCTTTGCAGATTTAGGGCTAAGAAGCTCCTGAGAGATGGTGTCTTTACATTAGATGTTTGGAATGCTTAGGAAATAAATCAGAACAGTCTGTTTTCTTTTCTCTCTCTTCAGGCCTTGACCTACCAGGGAGATTTCTCTTTGCATTCTTGACTCTGATGACGCTAATTGCCAATCTGGTGTTCATAGAGGAAGCAGTCTACATCTACAGGAAAATCCCCTCCTCCAAAAGATCAATCATAATTTGGATTAATGCTGCAGCTCCAGTAGGTTATCATGGAAAAGATATTAAACTGAATGTTGAAAATAGGGGTTTCCCTGAAAATCCACATGAACCTGCTTTATCTCTGCCCTTTGTACAACCCTCCTCCCTTTCTCTGTAGGTGATCGCTACTACTTCATGTTTTGGCATGTGGATTCCTCGCTCAACAATGTTTACAGATTTCACAGCAGCAGTGTGAGTATTCTGCTTGTTTCTAGAGGCTGCCCCAAACACTGCCCCTGAATTTCTTCCCTTTAAACATCTGCTGCTCTTGGTAAACACAGTCATTTTGTAAATTTAGCAATTTAGTAATTTCTGGTTTGAGCTGAAATCCCTTGGCAGCTCATTTCTGGGAGGTGGAAAATGCTGAAGCAGTTCCCAGTGCTGCAGTCCCCCCGTGTGGGAGCCTAAGTATGAAGGATCTGTGACTCGCATGTAATTGATCCCTCGGATTGACAGGAATTTTGAAGCAGTACTCTTTCTTTCCTCTCTCTGCGTGTCTCGTCGAATGACATTCTGACCTGTGGCTTCTGCCCTCCGATTTTACTAATGATGAGCCTTGGAGGTCTGTTATTAATGGTGGCAAGTGAACCTCTGATGACTGTATCAATGTAAAAATGTTCCACAGTTGTCCTGATAAAAAGCACTCTCTGTAAGAGCATGACAGCTCTGACATGCACAGAGAAGAAGGGAGAAATGTGGTCCTTGCTTTCTGGAGGTGATGGCGCAAGCCTGGTAGGCACAGCCAGGTTGGGGGATGCAGGACAGGATCACAGACTTGCATGAATAGCCTCACCTCATGTCACACTGCTAAGGGAGTAGAGTGAAAAAGGAGGAAAAACAGTGTTAGCACACAGCAATTTGTGCAGGTAGTCCAGATTGCCGAAAACTTCCAAGGATCCAGTCTACAGCATTTCAAGCCTGTCTGAATCCCCCACTTCCACCCCTGCCCATACTGCATGTTCCCGTCCCCTCATTTGCATCCACTAGCTCTCAGTCTCCGGCTGAGCAGTCAGCACCCTCAAGGAGGCAGTGGAGCTAAAGAGGACCCCTTTTATTTGGTAAATCGGTTTGGGACAGGGAGGAAAGGGCGGTTGCACAATCCACAGTTACTGGGAAGGGTTCGAATGTGCAGCTGGTGATGGAGAGAGAGGTGGGGTTGCGACAGTGCTTGGATTAGCTTTGGCTGCAGAGGAACCATGGCCCAACTGGGCCTGCACATTATTATCTATCTGTATCTATCTATATCTATATCATCTATATCTATATCATATATCTATATCTCTATGTCTATCTATATCTCTATCTATCTATATCTACATCTACATCTATATATCTATGTCTATATCTATATCTGAACATAGCCATATTTTTTGTTGTTTGTTTTGTTTGTTTGGGGTTTTTTTTAGAAGAGGAGGAAGAGGACTTGTTCTAAAAGTTTGGACCAGTCAGGACTAGATAACTGATGGAAAAATATGGCCATAATGACTTTGGCCAGGAAAACCTGGGCTTTAACACTAACTCTGCCACAAGTACAGCTTTGGGCAATTCCACAGCTGAGCCAGTGTGCCTCAGTTTATTCCTCTTTTGCAGATGTTACGGTAGCACTGGTCACCTTCAAGGTGATGGAAAGCAGAAGGTTTTTCACAGCTATTGCCAGAATTTTTGTTGATTGCAAAGCACAAGCTGTAAAAACCTTGCACAGAAGGCGGCACTGGCCCGCGCAGGCATATGAGACATGCAGGCAAGTTGAAGCTGGATGTTCTTGCTCTCCTAGATTTTTTGCCATGGTTATCCACAAGTTCCTGATGATGATGATTAAAGAGTGCGGAGGTCAAAAGCTGCTCCTCAGGCGGTTTGAAAATGGTCGCTTCAAGATCAGCACAGGTCCCTGCTGCTGCTGCTGCCTTTGCCTCCCTCGGGTGCGCATCACTAGGTGAGTTGCCCTTTAAGATTTCCCAGCTGGAAAACGGCTGCTGGAGTTCAGCCAACTTGGCAAAGCCAGGCTCAAGCAAACGGCCTCCCCGCTTCCCGACAGTCAGCCTCAAGCTGTCTCTTTTAAACAGTGCCATCACTTCGGGGCTATACACCCCTGCTAATTCATTTTGGTTTTGTAATGCAGAATTTTGCGTAAGAGTCGAGAGCAGGAGCTCTCTGTTTAACCCAGTGCAGTGTTCTCCCTCGTAGCACTGTGGTATCTTTCCAACTAATCCTGTTCTCTTCCAAAAAACCATTTCTATAGTAAGCAGTGGTGTGTGGGAGGAGGAATTTCTACTCTAGAAAACCCAGTAATTGAGATTTCAGTTTCTTTTCATTCCAAAAGGGAAAAAATGTCTCCAAGTGGGGTATTTTTTACAAGCAGAATTCTCAAGTTGAGGCTCTCTTGAAATAAATTTTCTCTTGCTTCAATGAAATAAAAATGTTTCATTCTGATTTTGATGCTAAAACTACTTCAGATTAAGAAAATTTTTAGAACAAAAATAAATGCAATTCCTGGAAAACTTTGATCTCAGTGGAACGACATCATCTGGTGAGGCAGAGGCAAGTATTTTCTGCTACTAAACTTACTATTAACGCACCTTCGAGAAGCGGGATGAGGATGGCCAGCTACACCTACGAGAGATAATATAATATATTGGAACATAAATCCTCCTCCTTTGAGCACTGCCTAGTGAGGCTCCTCCTCGGGCTAACGTCACCCTGTCATTTACACGCTGCTCCACAGCCCAGAAGCCTCATGTATTTCCTGGGGCTTTCCTACTGGCACAGAGTATGAGAATGTTTTTCTCATTAAGAGCAAAAGCTGAAGGACTGAAAGTGCAAAACAATGATGTTTCTATGAGGGCCTGGACATTGGTGTCAGAGCATCCCTAGGGACTTGCTGATCTGGTTAAATGAAAGCAGCAAACAGAACGCAGCACAGGGATTTGTGATGCATTTTCAAAAATTCTTATTTTTTTAATTGTAATAATTCTCCCTTAAACTGCCTCATTTGATATTAGAATTTAAACTCTTGTTTCCATATTTTTCTTTTAATGGAATAACACTGATTATTTACATGGAGGATGCACCGAGAACAATAGGTAGTAAACGAACCAAAAAATGCACCTTCAAAAATGGATACAATGATGTAAAATCAGCAACTGCTGCTGTGGGTCTAAATGACTCTTACTAATTTTCATGGCCATTGGTTCAGGTTCGTTTCAGCAATCAGAGCTGAAGAAATGTCATGGGACAGAGCTGTGCTGTGGATCTAACCAGTATATTTGTTTTTCTTCTCATGTCTGTCACCCTCTGGATAGCTTGTAGTGGCTGCGACCTTAGGAGAGGATCCTCTCCTATGCTCTCCTGTTCCTTAGTCCAGTGACAGTAACTAATATTAACATCTTTCAGGAGCTAGATAGTGCCTGCTACTGCTGGGAGGAAGGACAGCTGTCTGTTTAAAAGAAAAGGGTTGTGGCACCGCAGAGGGCTTAGGGCTCCTTCTCTGGTGTGTGTATCATAGAATCACAGAATGGCCTAGGCTGGAACAGACCTTAGAGATCATTTAATCCAACCTCCCTGTCATGGGAAACCCATCTGCTGTCTCTGCTTCTAGACTCTTCCCATTACAGGGTACAATTGTTTTGAAATATGATCAAGCAGGACCAGAGAAAGAGCAGTCTCGTATTCCTCCCATGGGGTACCTTCTGGGAAAACAGGAAGCTACTCCAAGGGAGGGATTATAGAATCATAGAATTATCAGGGTTGGAAGGGACCTTAAAGATCATCTAGTTCCAACCCCCTGCCATGGGCAGGGACATCCCCCACTAGATCAGGCTGCTCAGAGCCCCATCCAGCCTGGCCTTAAAATCTTCCAGGGATGGGGCTTCCACCACCTCTCTGGGCAACCTGTGCCAGTGTCTCACCACCCTCATGGGGAAGAGCTTTTTCCTAATGTCCAATCTGAACTGATCCATCTCTATCTTTAATTCATTAAATTAATTCTTTAAGAAAAAATCTTTAAGATTAATTATTGATTAATTAATTAATCTTTAAGATTAATTCTTTAAGAAAAAAACATATAATATTGGGCAGTGCTGGGAAAGCTAACAAGGTATGGTACACAGATGAGGCAAAGTAACAAGCCATTCAGTGGGGAGAGATGTGACAAAAAGATAGACCCTCATTGACAACGCTCGTGGCATTGCAGCGACTGTGCTGTTTGTCATGTTATTCTTTAAAGCCCTTTGGGAATAGTAAATCTCTGAAAAGGCACACACACACGTGAAGTGGCTGTCCAGCTGCAGGCCTTTCCATGTGCGTCTGTGCTGTTCATAATCCTGCGGTTATTAGCTATATTCATTGAGCAATTCCTATAACTCCTGGGTCCTGGCAGTATCCTGTAGCACACTAAACAGCAGCCTGTTGTCTGCTGAGGCATCTCTGATGGCAGTCCGGAGTGCCCAAGGGGCTACAGTGAAGACAACATCGACAGTATGGGAAATAATACACCGTAAATAGACAAAAACGTGACCCAGCTGTAGCAGCCACATCTTGTCCTCTAAAGACTGAAACGGAGTTCAGGTCAGTCAGCTTTCACGCCCTCTGTTAGAAAGTGCACCTGCCTCTTTGCTGGTGGCCTATAGTGCTGGCTGGCCAGGTTACAGTGTACGGGCTGTGTTCTGGACCCAGGTTATACTGACAGAGAGGAAATCCTGAGCTGTCTTGCCGGCCTCGTGCAGTTTGCCAAGTGAAAGTTAGTTCCCTTCTTCTGTTAGAGTACAGAGGAGCAAAACCAGGTGCTTACATGGTAGTATTCATGATGCATTGAAAAACTACCATTCCTTTCACCTAGGTCTGTATGATCCTTTTTCTTGATCTACCACAGGACTAGGAAGTGTCTGAACAGGAAAGCTGAATTGCCAAATTTCATTGAAGAACTGAAATAGTAAAGCAACAAGGCAAAAGCAAGTGACATTATTGTTCAGAAACCGGTTATGCTGCTACTGGCTCTCTGGTCAGCTTCGGGGCAGAGGGAGACATAATGTTTCACCCAGCTTTGGTTAGTATGTGATTGCTGCAGAACAGAAAAAGCACTGTTTTTGTAGAGACTTCACTAAATAAACACTGGGTGATTCTTGGACAGATTTTCTAATCTTGAAGTTGTTCCTGCCCAGATTTTAGCCACATGCTACAGGAGTGGAAAAGTTTTGCAGTTGACAGCATTCAGAAAATGTTAATAAAGTTGCTAATAAAATCTTGGCCTATGCGATTCTTTTTTTTTTTTTTTTTGGCCAGGCGAACCCTCTTTTGGCTGAAGCTGGGCACCTTTCAGTTTGCTTTCCTTCGACCTGTGCTCATGTTTTTATCAATAGTGCTTTGGACTAATGGCAATTACACCCTCTACAGTGTAAGTAAATATTCTAATCACACACGGTCCACAAAATCCATAGGTTTTAGGGCTGCTGTTAGTATCTCAGCCTACAACTAAACTAAAATCTGGGAGCACATCCAAGTGAGTCCTTACTGTATTCTTCTGAGACTCTGAAGCATGTAATTTCTGCCTTCCCCTGTCTCTCCATTTCTCTTGTGAATGAAGTGGGCACCAGGGTGGGTTGGGATTTAGATTGTGCTCTGATACGTTTCCCTGCTTGTATGGTTAGAATAGCAGAACCGCAGGTTGACCTGTGGAGTGTATCTGCCCTGTGTTTTGTAGAGCCTTAAGAAACAAGTGTATGTACAGGCATGTAAACAGGAAGCCTAATTCCATGTTTTTCTGCAAATCATGGTGATTTCTATGTCTTTGCAAAGTAGAAAAAATAGTACTGTACTTCTGCTCTGTCCCATGTAAGCTGGAAGACGATGGAGAAGTCTGTATTTGCGAATAATTTTGCACCTCTTGGATAACTCAGATTAGAAGTAATACATTTTTATCGTTTCACGATGTAAAGCTAATGGCCCCTCTGAGATATCATGCTGAACACGCTCTCATGAGCTACTGAGTGTTCCCAGGTGCCGCTGGGCTCAGATTCGGGGGGGTTGTGTCACTTGGTACCTTCCCAGGCTGGAGAGATCGACATGTCTGGGTGAGAGCACTGTGCTAACGCTACGGTTGGTACCGTGCAGTTTCCCCATGCAAACCCCAGCAACTGCTGCTGCCATCAGCTTTCACAGAGACAGAAACAAGCATTTTAACATGTGCATCATTCACTTCACAACTGCTTCCTGAAAATAGTAAAATGGACTGAAAAGTTTTATAGATATGCTTTTTTGATTTGCTTCTCAGTTGTCTCCCAAAGGAGCTGCGATATGGATCAACTGCTTCGTTGGTGTCCTCACCATTATTGCTCTGTGGCCAATTGCAATCATGTTTCAACAAGTTAGGAATATCCTTATTTGTAAGAAGATCATCCCAAAGTTTGCTCTTTATCAGGTGAGATGTTTTAATACTTCTGATAAGAATTTCTCTTAACTGCTGGACAACAGTGTCTCTCTGGTTCTTGGTCTTTTGGTCAAATCTTACAGTATGTTTTTTCCCCCCATTAAATACACTGTGCAAAGGCATATTTTTAGCTGATTAAACCTGAATCCCTTTGAGGCACTCTCCTTGGCTGCCGTTCAGTTTCAGCTTGAGCCAGTTTACCTCCAGTCTCTCAGGAGTGCTGGAGATGGAAAAGCTGCATAAAACCCATTTATCTTCAGTCCACTGAAATCAAAGTGACACCTTCTGCGAGGCTTGAAGGAAGCTTTGCAGTATCCTGAAACACAGTGTTAAAATGCTGGTGTGTACTTCTAAAAACTAGGAGAGGGTGTGGAGCATTGTGTGGGTGGCTGTGGTTTGAACTGTTTCAGCATGTCACAGTCTACTGTTCTGACAATATTTTTCTTGGCCGTTCTGCACTTCAGAGTTAGATTATGATGAAAATACTGCCTGGGAATCATTAAATAGTAAGGAACAGAACCAGATAGGTTAGAGTGAAAAAGCCAAGGGATAGGGCCACCCTTTTCCACATCACCCTGAAGAGAGGTCAGCAAAATCCCTGAGTATGCATCCTTCTTGAACAGGACATATAGAAAGGCTGGTTCACTTAGGTCTGTGTTAACTAAGTTATTAAGCATATATAAATAAATAAGATAGTCACAGCTGCAAAGCTGCCTTAGGGTGAATCCAGGTTTAGGATGGCAGACTCTCTTAATTTATACTCAGGCAGTTACAGTAGCAGCTGGAGAGGCACTTTGGTATCTCTAAAGCCTAGCTCAGCGGATACACAGCCAGCCGTCCCCAGTCCAGGACGTTCCTCCAGTGCGTCGAGGATAATTTTTTGATGCAAATGGTGAATGAACTGACCAGGAGAGGAGCACTGCTGGACCTTGTGCTCACCAACAAGGAAGGTCTGGTTGAAGCAGTGAAGGTTGAGGGCAATCTTGGCTGCAGCAACAATAAGGTGGTGGATTTCAGGATCTTGTGCAGTAGAAACAGAATACCAAGCAGGATCTCAGCACTGGACTTCAGAAGGGCCAACTTTGGCCTTTTCAAGCAATTGCTAGGGGTTACCCCATGGGACAGGGAACTGGAAGGTAAAGGGGCCCAAGAGAGTTGGTCAGTATTCAAGGACCACTTCTTCCAGGCTCAGGATCAGTGCATCCCAACAGGTAGGAAATCAAGAAAGAGATCCAGGAGACCTGCA